AAAAAAAAAAAAAAAAAAACCATCCAGAAGAAGCGGATATGGAGTCACCAAGTCACTATTCTTCATACTAGTCTCCCAAGGACCAGTCAGTCCATCAATTTTATTGTGCCTAGATTCACTTTGGGGCCCATGTCCAATTTCCATAATTAAGAATTGAGGGAGGGTCACTGGAGAAGAGAAGGTATGGAGTGAGGGCATGTTGCTAAGGACACTAGGTTGGACCTGGTGCCTGAATGTTACCATGGCAACTACACTGCAGAGGCCTCTAGGTGCCACAGGCCAAGGCAGCCTGGTGTTACCATGACAACAAACCAGACAGGCTTTAGAAGAGCCTGGAAGGAAAATCTGGTATGGAAAGGGGAAAACAGAAAGGATCTGTCACCTGCAGCCATGTGTACCAAGACGCTGTTGCCAGGCCTCAAATTTCCGAAGTCAAAGAGGACCATGTAGGCTGTGATGTAATTGACCAGCAAGGCAGCTGCTTCCTCAAAGGTCATGGCCTCAGGCATCAGGAAGGTTTGGGCTGAGGGCACAGTCACCTCCTCTTGCCACATCCCTGACCGGTTCAGCACCATCACCCGATCCCCTGCCTTGAAGAATGGGAGAATAGCAGCATTCAGTCAATTAATTCACCTAAGGTGATTTACTGACTTTCCACTATGTGCCCAGCCATCTTCTTTGAGATGAAATAGCAGTAGAGGGGCTGGGATTGTGGCTTAGCGGTAGAGCACTCGCCTAGCACGGGTGGGACCCGGGTTCCATCCTCAGCATCACATAAAAATAAAGGCATTATGTTGTGTCTATCTATATCTAAAAAAATAAATATTAAAAAAAAGAAACAGCAGTAAAAACAGCAATAGAAGTCATTGTAATAATAACAACATTATCAACAACAACAATAAGCACTACCCTTCTCTGAGTGCTTACTGAGGGCTAGGCCCTATGCCCTGTGCTTTATATATAAGCACCCAAATAATCCCTACATCAACTCTGAGGTAGATACTATCCTTATCTCTATTTTACAGATCATGCACTTAATTATTGTGTAAGAACTCTGAATGCAAGAAGATTACAGTTAGGGCAGCATGAGTATTATTGAAGAGATCAAACTGTTTTTGGTTATAAAAATGAGTTTCACTGTTTACTGGCAATGTGTCCTTGGGCAAATAAAAGTATTTAACCAGTTTTTCTTATCTGTAAAGTAGGGGAATGATGAGAATTAAATGAAAAAACTTAGTTAGGGACTTTTAACACAATGTCTAGCACATTGTAAGCACTTGGTAATGTTAGGTAATAACAATGATAACAATAATAGCAGAAGAGGAAGTCACACAAATAACTGAAGGAAGAGGGCAGCATGTGGTAAGGACCTTGCCAAAGCACAGGTAAATGTCTCTGAGTGGTTAGGGCTCGGTGTGATCCATCAAAAGTTGTATTTGAGGGCTGGGGATGTGGCTCAAGTGGTAGCGCGCCATGCCTGGCATGCGTGCGGCCCGGGTTCGATCCTCAGCACCACATACCAACAAAGATGTTGTGTCCGCCGAGAACTAAAAAATAAATATTAAAAATTCTCTCTCTCTCTCTCTCTCCCCTCTCTCACTCTCTCTTTAAAAAAAAAAAAAAAAAAGTTGTATT